TCACATTGACTCAATTTATGGATTTCTGCACAACACCAATCACATTGTAGCTTAGTGTATACAACATCAGGAACTATAATTTTTCTTAATTAAATAGGGGACAGAAGGTCATAAAGGTATTCACAAGGTTAGTAGAGGGATATTTTTCTTTTGGAAATGTTTCCATACAGACAATAGTTGTTTCTTGCCTTCACAGGTATTTTGATACACAGATCTAATACATCTCACTTCCATGCCTTGACTCATATACATTGACTCATATGTCAATTTTATTTTACTGTCTAGTGATTGATGTCAAATGACTGGTGTGAAATGGCCCATAAATCTATTGTTTCACTTGTAGTACAATTCTAATTCAATTATACTTTTCTATTTTTTCCTACCTTATAACCATTTACCTTCCCAAATTATTTCTCCAATTATGATTTTAGCAGTGTTCTTGCTAAGCTTTCTATAATATCAAGAGGGCCTTAGCAGAGAAATACGAAGGAAAATGGATCAGAGGAACTGATGTACACACTAAGAAGTTTAAAAAGAAAGACCTGTGTAGGGTTTACCGTGGACAGATGTGAACGGGTGTGTGGGGAAAGGATGAGGGAAATGAGAGACGGCAGGAAGGGAAATAAATAGAAAGCATCATTAATTTACCATGTACCGTGTGTCAGACTGTGTTCTGGATGCTTTTCCAAATTGTCAATTAGAAAATGATAGAGTCAATGGAAGAAACATCAGGAAGAGGAGGAAATAGTAAAGAAGAAAATTAAATTGTCATTTATTAAAGATGTTATATTAAAATATATTCAAGCTTGCAAATCACAGTAAATGCATGTATTTGTATGAGAATGGTTATGCTCTGATCTTTACTGTCAGTTTGTTTCTTCCTCTTACTGTTCCTACTGTATCTAAATAATAAAGGGCTTATGTTTTCCTTAGATGTTTTAAATACCTAAAACTTGTTTATATGGGAAAAATATTCAAACGATTTCTCCCCCCAAAACCCACAAATTGTCCCCAAGGATGAATTGAACACCAAGTGAGATGAAGAACTCGTTTGTCTCTTCATAAAAGTGAGACTTAAAGATGGTGATTGAAAACTTTTTAGTAACTGAAAAGATCTTATTTCTCAAGATTTCAAACTGGCATCAAGTATTCAATACAAAGAAGAGAAGTCAGAGTGGTAGGAGTCTAAATGTGCAACTTCTGGATTTTTAAAAAACAGAGTTTAAGGCATGGAGATGGCTGCTGTTTTGATAGAACCAAGACCATCATATGCATGAGAAATGCTAATCCCATTCTTGCCATTCTGCAGCATATCAGAAAAAAAAATATTCACAGAATTTTCTTACAGATGTGATACATTCTAGTATACATGTTGAAAAATTTGGGCTTGGTTGCATTCATGCTTGAGAAATTGTTTTTTGGAGGATGGAAATGCTGTTTGTGTGATTTTATAACTGATGCCACATCTTTTCTTCAAACTAAAACTATAGCTAATATGCTTGTGTGTCTTAAAGCAGATTTCTTCACTGTCTTCTGTGTCAGTAATTTTAAAATGTTCCTTACTGATGTGTTTGTGCTCTTTTTCAGGAATCTGCATTTTCAGTATTCCAGCTACTGCCCCCTTCCCCAGTTGACACTGATTTCTCTTCTGTAGGCATGTCTTGCCATATTTACAGGAAAAAAAATTGTAATCTCTTTTCCCACTGAATTTCAACATGATCCTTGAAAAAAAAAACTATATTTCCACTGAGGAGATACATCTTGATATCACTAAACATTCTGAAATGATGACTTTTGTACAAATTAGAATCTACTATTGTGTATCTTTCTTCTTGTTCTACCTAAATGGGTCATTTTAAAGTTATTTGGCATGTATTCAAAGAATGGGGTTTGATCCGCAAGCATTTTTTTTTCTGACTTTTTTTGATTGTCATGTCAATTTTCAAGTGGATCACAGTCCATAATCTAAGTGGGAGAAAAAAATGGAATTAATCAGAAATATTCTTTTTGTGTCTTTAGTGATTTGAATAAATCACTTGCTTTGCTCTATTTTTCAAAAGCTTTCCCTACTTAACATAATACTAATATTTCTGTTTTTCAAGGTCAAAATTAATTGTATTCTGTTTCAATGATGCTCAATCTTAAAGGCTTTGTTCATATAACTGGCCTTATTTCTCCCATGGTGCCATTTTTAATGGAGCCTGTTTGTTATTTAGTAACTATATAATCAATTTTTATTCTATGGTGGAAAGGTATAACTAAATATTGATGTGTGACACGTAACACTTAAAATAGAGTTTCATAGCCCCTTATATTTTCAGTAAGGAACATATTTTATTTCATGTATAAATTGCTAACATCTTCTGGTTTATATTTACTATATTGAATAGATTCCTAGCAAAACTATGGATCAAATAAAAAAAATTTTAGATATTTGGTTACAAGATCAGAAATGACTGTATTCTAATTAAACTTGATTCATTTTGATCTGCTACTATGGGATTCTACTATTAACATATTGACACATTGATATTTTTTGAAAATTATTAATTTCTCACACCATTTTCAAAATGTCACTAAAACCATTTCATTTTTTTTTTTTTTTTTTATACAGAGTCTCACTCTTTTGCCTGGGCTAGAGTGCCGTGGGGTCAGCCTAGCTCACAGCAACCTCAAACTCCTGGGCTCAAGCGATCCTTCTGCCTCAACCTCCCCAGTAGCTGGGATTACAGGCACGCGCCACCATGCCCGGCTAATTTTTTCTATGTATTTTTAGTTGTC